TAGTCAGGGAGAGGGATGTAGGGACTTAGGCCTTTACTGGGGCAGAGAGGGAATGGCAGGCAAATAGACACAGGGACAGGAAGCTGGGATCAGGTGGTCTGGGCTCTCAGATAGAGAAAATGCAGCACCCCAGAAGCGTAGCATGAAGCGGGAGAGCAGTCTTCAGGCTGACAACACCCAGGAGGAGAAAACTATGGTAGACATTTTCTGCACACATTGTCAATACCTATATCCTAAATCCCCAAGGAAGGATTTGTCATTTCCTCCTGGGTCTTACCTGGTAGAGCTTTGCCATTCCTGTGGAGTTGAGGTCCTTGATATGACTGTGTCTATGTCAACAGCATCCATCCATCCACAGGACCTCATACCCTCAGGACTTCCTCCACTCCTCACCAATTACAACAGCCAGATTACACCTGAGACTATGAGAACCTGGCACTCTGTGTTTGGGGATAGGCACCTCAACATCCAAAAGTGGTCCCAGAATAGCTGTCTCTTACTGGAGAGATGACCACCTGTTACACAGTCCTCAAGGCTGGGTTCTCAGGAGTCCCAGTTCAGCATTAGAAGTCTGGAAAGTGCTTGGAGAGCTGTTGGTCCTTAATCCAAGATGAAAGCTTGGAAACTTGGGTTCTGCTGTTAGTGAAGGCAGAAACAGTGAGCAAATCAACTCACTGACACGATGGAAGGCCACACCAGCAGCCTTGCTTCTGGCCCCCCAGATAAGTAGCTGAAGGTGCTGCCTCAGTCAGGGTGGGTCATTACACATCAATCAAGGCAATTCCTTGGAGCATGGTGGGGGGGGCTCCCCCTACCCAGGAGATTTTAATCTGTGACAAGTTGACATAAGAACAGATTATAATAAAAGAAAAGGATGTATTTGGCTTATACTTTCTACATGACAGTCCATTATTGAGGGAAGTCAGAGCAGGAACCAGGAGGCAGGACCTGAAGCAGAGATGATGGAGGAATAGTATTCACTTCCTTGCACTAGTGGGGAGCACTAATGGGGTGGCACCACTAAAAGGAGACTGAGATCCCTACACAAATTACTAATCTAGAAAATCCTGCCCCCAGATTTCCTTACAAGCCAATCTGATGGAAGCATGTGTCCTCTTCCCAGATGACCCTGGCCTGTGTTGAGTTAACAAAACCTAGCTAGGACACGTGCTTTCGGTTTTTCTGCTTGGGCTGATACCTAAATTTACACAACTTCAAAAAGTTTTTCATTCACTTATTAAATTTATTAAAATCGTAATAAATTTTCTGTACCCACAATATCCTTGTACGTAATTTTAATGGTTGAGAACTGGTCAGTCAGATGTGCTATAACCATCTTTGAACTGTTGCTGTCATAAGTACTTGTGATATGAAGCAAACTAAATGCATGTGTTTCAGAACAGATTTGATTAATTTATTGATATTCATAGAAACATTTGATGAAATACAGACTACTTTAACAGTGCTTTGTAAGGTGAATTGCCATATATAAGGACATCAGTTTTGTTTTTAGCAATTGTACAAACACGGCTTTTAGCTTCCTCTTAGTTTCACCAAGCATAGGTAACAGGTAGCGTGTAGTTTTCTCTTTTCCAAATTAATGGCTTCTGAACAATGTATGGTAAGTATATTTCAACTCTGAGTTTCTTCTTCTGTAAAATCAGCTAGTAGATACAGAACTCAGGGATATGATAATAGTGCATGATATTAGTCACAGTTCTGCAGCCTGGTCGTGCTCAGTGTCTGAAGTTCAGTTCAAATGAGAAAGGAGATTTGTGAAGCCGAGGTGTGAAAACGGGCTGAATTGTTATTGTCCAATGTCATGGGGCTGACCATACTTGCAGATTCCAACCAAGGGAATGATGCTGATAACAGAAATTTTTTACATTTCTAATTATTTTCATTTTTGTCCATCCCATTAAGTCATATTGTAGCCAGAGTTTCTTTCCTGCCTGGTTTCGTAGCCATTTAGCCCCAAATGAACACACAGAGGCGTCTATTAATTATAAACTGTTGGGCGATGGTTCAGGCTTCTTACTGGCTAGCTCTCTCTTAATTATTAAACCATAACTACTAATCTATGTATTTCTACCTGGTTTTATCTTACCAGAGGACTTTTGGCATCCTATCTTCCCAACAGCTACATGGTGTCTCCCTCTGGCTGATCCTCTCTTTCCTGTACCCAGCATTCTGGTCGTCTGGTAGTCCCGCCTATATTTCCTGCCTGGCCACTGGTCAATCAGTGTTTTATTTATCAACCAATAAAAGAAACATATATACAGGAGACCATCACCCATCACCGTATGGTCAATGAAGGCACAGATCTTGGTTCATTAATTTCTAGTAGAGAACCTGATATAGTAGGTATTCAATAAAATATATATATTGAACAACAACAAAATAAGTAGAATGAAATTCCTTGGATTTGCTGTGAGATTTTGTATTTGGCAGTCAGTTTGTGTCCCCAGACTTTGGGGGTATTTGCAGCTCCTGTGGTCATACCCTATTGGAATAGTGTTTACTAATATTGAGTACATTTGATCTAGTTAAGAGTCAGTTCCCACCCTGGAATCCACACTCTGCAAAGTCATGTTGAGTGTCTTAGCTCTAGCTCATTGTGGGTCCACTTAATAGTTCAGTCCAGAGGATGGTGTCAGCCTCAAGTTTTTAATAATATTTCAATCCTGCCCCTTAGACTGTCTAGAATGATTACTTAATGGCATGGCTAAGAGTCCAGTGCATGAGACAGTTTATTAGTGTAGTGGAAAACATAAAGCCATTCTTCAGGTAACACATTATGGTGGCTAAAAAGCCTGACATTAGAACCAGGCTATCTCAATTCAAACTTTAGCATCCTGCTTAATTTGCCATGTTAAATAGGTTATTGCATCACACTGTGTAAATACTGTTGACCTTACAGGATCCACTGTAGATTAATGTAATTAAAGCAGGTGAAGAGACAGAGACTGTAAACAAATGCTTCCCATCTCTACCCTCAGGGAGATGTAGGAAGCAGCTCCTTGAGAGGGCTAAGAGCACTGGACACCAGACGTTGCTTCTTTAATTCATCCTCGAACATCTCTGTGGGCCATTATTGTTACCTTATCTGATGAATCGAGGTACTGAGGGCTAGACAGTTTTAATAATACCCTGAATCATATAGGTTGAATATGATAGTGACTGTTCAAATGCAGCTCTGTCTGAAATATCCCCTTGAGGAGATAGTTCTCTTAACAGAATTGAAAGTGTTTGTATCACTGTGGAAACCGTTAAGTTCTAATAGCTGGCATTTAGCCATTTCTTTGCCATGCTCACAGCCTCAGCACATTTTTAAAAAAGTAAATTGCAAGCACATGTGAGGATTTCAACATCTGTCTAGAGATTGGATGGTCTGCAGTTTCTAAGGACTGTTGCTGATTTTAAATTATGTTGGTACCAAGGGTTAGTTCACTAATCTCTGTATTTTCTCTATTGGGGTTTAAGCAAAAATCAATCCTTTAAATAAATAAATAAGTAAATAAATAACTTTAAAGTTTTCATTAGCATATGTTAATTAAATATAATAGTGGGTTGGTAGTGCTATTTTCATACATGTGTATGATGCATTTTGGTTATATTAGCCTCCCCAGTGCCCTCTCCTGTCTCCTCCCTCTCCAGCTGATCCCCTCCCTTTCTCAGTTCCCTTTGCACTTTTACTTAATTTTATTTTAGATTATTATCATTTCTTGTTTTGGTGAATAAGCTTAATTAAAGTTACTTAGAGAAAAAGTATGGGTGATGTGTTTTTTACAGGAGCATGGGCAACTTAATCCATTTCTCTTCTGGTTTTACCCAGAGAATAGCTTTAGGTTTTCCATGATAGTAATGTTGTCTCATGCAATGTACTCTCAGCCACTCGGTGACTCAGTACAGGCTTCTGACCTGGTTTATAGTACCAGATGTGAATTTCCTCCAGTCAAACAGTCCTCAAATTCAATCGGAAAACAGTTGGTAATCCCCTCAAAGTCATGCAACTGTCTCAGCAGTGGGCACTTCTTGCTTGGGAGGTTGGTACTGTAGCTTGCAGGGTCCACAGCTGAGTAAGACTGTTGATAACAGTGGTAGACAGACCCTTCCAGCACTTTGCAAACCAGCTGGCAGACAGGGAGCTTCCAGCTCACTTTCAGCTTGGCTTTCTGTGTTCTGCAACCAAACTGTGTGGCATCTAGTTCTGGTGGGCAACCAGCAGCAGTGATAGGAGCCTGCATTGCTTTTCCCTTTGGAGGCACAAAGGGAGGTACTCTACCCATGCGACTGGGATTTTAATTTACAGACTTCACAGATTCTGAGACTGACTTTCTTTTAAAATGATAGCATGGCAAATCTTGAACCAGAGACACTGCATTCCATGTTGTAGAGATATTTAGTTACCCTTTAAATCTTCTTTAAAGGGTATCTTCTGTTGAAAAACCAAATATGTAGTCATTTCCGTGTTGTCTTCAATGCTGTCGAAGCTGTGTGTGCTTCTCCACCCAAAGCCAGAATTGTCCTGACATCAGGACAAGACAGACATACATGTGGTAAAGGGGCTGCTTGGCTGTGTTGTGGCTACAAGCAGTCAGCAGTCCTCTCACTACAGTGACAGACCCTTTCCTGATATCCCTAGCAGATAAAACAAGAAAAACTGGAAAGAAATCCATTTGCAGACATCAACACAGCTCCTGTGTCTGTAGGCATGATTTGTTGTGCTGTGTTTGACAATTTTTGACATCTTTGAAGCTTACCTTATTTTCCATGGCATATGCTATCAAATATTCTGTTACCATTTGCTAGGTGAATGGATTGTGAATTCAGTGAATGTACTGTTCAGAGCTGAGAGAGAATAGTGGCCATGAGTTGGCAGGATTGGTGGATTATGTGTGGTACATATCCAGAAAGCATGGTAGAATGTTCTCTGAGATAGCATGGGTTTACACAGGATCCAGTTTGATGTTTAAATGTTTTCTGTTTCTCTTCTGCAGGTTAATTATGTATGGCTTTGTGAAGATCATGGTGTATGCCGGCCAGCTGAAGAGTGGGGACTTCCATTTCACTGACTGTTTATTTTTTGGTTCACTGATGTCTGCTACAGATCCAGGTAACTGTTCAAATAATGCCTTTCTTTTTTTTGAAGAGTCAAACATTTAAATTGACCGTTTCTCTACAGGCAGTCATCTAGTCTCCCTGGTAATAATTCTTCATTCCTCATCACAGGCTGTTGACACATCTGTAAGTGAATTAAATAAAAAAGTCAAAAAAGAAAAGGCAAGATATAGGTGATATCTGACAGCTCCCAAGAAATTGGTCAGAAAGCAATCTCCATAGTAGAAGGGATTTTTTAAAGCCATTATGGCTGCTCTCCAGTTTAGAGCCATTCTAAGCTGTTGTCCTTAAATTTGCCTCTATTCAATATATCTACTTTTGAAAATCTGTTGAAGTAAATAGTTTAAAGATTCTTTTAAAACTGCTGCAGAACTTTTTAAACATGTCAAGGGTAGGGATTAAAGATGATTGCCCTCTAGCCGTTAGTAGCCAAATATGAACACATGTTCTCCAGCCACTCCTGTTTATTACGACTGTATTGCATTATAGTAAATTGTTGCCAATAGAAGACTTACAACTGATCATGATTTAATAATATGAAACCTCCAGTCACTGTTTAAATATCCTCAGTTCACTTGTCATTATTATCATTACTGGTTTGTTAGTAGCTTATACAAAATGTATCCAAAGATGACATGTAATTAGTGGCAATGTCCCCATGTGCCCAGTGTTTCTTATGGTTAAAGCTAGAGGCTTAATCAGAATTGGGTTCAACCTTTTCCTATCATGATTACTTTAAAAATGATGCTGGGGACATCACAGCAGAAGACAAGTGGTGACTGGTGAATCAGCTGTCAGGTTAATTTATCACATCTCTGGATTGCCACTCTAGCAAAGTCTACCAGAATGCACCAGAGGAATGAAATGAGTTTCTTATATGGTGAAATGAAAGAGAATGCTCACAGAGGGTGTGCAGGCTAGTTTTATGCCAACTCGGTACAAGCTAGAGCCATCAAAGAGGAGGTAGTCTCAACTGAAAAAAAATGTTTCCGTAAGATTGGGCTATAGGCAGGCAATCCTGTAGGACATTATCTCATTAGTGGTTAATGGGGGAGGGCCCCACCCATTGTTGGCAGGGTCTCGCCTGGGCTGGTGGTCCTGGGTTCTATAAGAAAGAAGGCTGAGCAAGCCAGTAAGCAGCACTCCTTCATGCCTCCTGCATCAGCTCCTGCCTCCAGGTTCCTACCCTGCTTGAGTTCCTGTCATGATTTTCTTCAATGATGAACAGTGATGTGGAAGTGTAAACCAAATAAACCCTTTCTTCCCCAAGTTGTTTTGGTCAGGATGTTTCATCACCGCAATAGTAACCCTGACTAAGACATCAAGGAACCATATGAGAAGGACTGGGTTTCCATTTGTGATATTTAGGGCATCAGGACTTTGCTCTGGAGTAGATGTGTCAGGAAGTAAAAGTAATCCATAGTTATCCATTCAGTTAAGTTTCCTCTTAAAAGAGATAAGACCAGACTAAGCCTAAATTTGTAATTAATAAAGAAGCCATTTCCCTCTTCATGGTCCGAATGGACGATGTTCTGTCAGTTTTAGGCTTGGATAATGCTCATTATGTATGTTTAGATATGATAATGTAGTTGTTTTTCTTCTACTCCACTCTGCTCAGAGTTACTTTGCCTGGGGTTGTTCTGTGGAAACATTTATATCTACTAAACCCAGTGGATGGTAGCAGCCAATACACCCTGACCAGCAGTGCTGGTGTCAGATGAGGTATACCAGAACTCTCTCAGGCTCAACCTCAGATGTCAGAATTTAACAGGGAGCCCAGCAACCCCTAAGCACAGGCATCTGACAAGCGCTACAGATTGCAGTTCCCATCAACCCACTGGCTTCCCCAGGTCTCATGATGGTCACTACTTAATGCAATATAGTCTCCTCAAAGGAATTTCATTGTTCAGCTATTTGAGCACTCCATGGTGTAATATAAACAAACAACAAGAATCAAGCAAGACAAATGACTGATTATTTCCTTTAACTTACTAAAATCCAAGATAATGTGTTGTTTCCATGGCATCCTCCACATGTTACTTGCAAGACAGGTCTTTAAAACACATCTCTCTGAACGTGTGTATTTTAACACAGCTGTTATATTTCAGCCTATGCTGGCTTTTTCCGTCCTATGGTTAAAACATTACATTTTCACAAGGGCAGGGGTGGAGGGCAGTCTTCAGGTTTCTGATGTAACTTCTTAGCATGACTTTCATGGTCTTTGATAAACTGCTTGCATTTAGGTAGGTCTAATATTCTATGACTTCTGTCCCTCAATTTAAAAATCAGCCATCTCTCCTAGGAGCCTTGAATCTTTTAAGAAGAAAATTGGTTTAAGGATCACTTTTGCAACTGTTTTGATTGCTATTGAATAGGTCATTCTTTTTAAACCTCTGTGTTTAGGCAAAGTTCTACCAGAAATTCCTTTTAATATTTGCAGCTCAGTTTTAGGATTGTAGAAATTTTATTGTGATGCCATGAATTTTAATTTACATTTGCATTTTTCTTCTGCTTCTTTTTCTTCCTCCAACCACATTAATATAATTTTACTTGCTTAAAATATATACTCTCAAAATGATCTCACATACATTAATGCTAAAAATATAGCAACTGAAAATTACTTAAGATTTCTTGTAGTTATTTTTAGCCTTTGAGTATACCCCACTGGGATGCAGTTAAAAGTTGTTCTTTTTTTTAAATCACTTGAAATTATTCTGATGTGTGGTTAAGCCCCAAGTCAATCACAATAATGTTCTTCTGTTGCACTGTGCTTTTTTTGTTTTGTTTTGTTTTGTTTTAAAATTAGATTAAATATCCCAAAGATTCATAAATGAAAAACCATGGTGGAGGTAGAGAGCCTAGCTGCTAGCCCCATTCCCTCTGCCCTGACTTTTGGGATATTTTGATGGTTATTGGATTACATTTCCACCTTTAAATTTAGGTGTACATGCAAGCATAAACACCCCTTCCCCCGTATTACACTCGCTCTTTGTCTTAACTTTGTTTAATGAGCAGCGTTTAGACATTGGCAGCATCTAAAGATCTTCCTCGTTCCCTTTTACAGCTACACAATAGGCTACTATTTAGCCACTCTCCTATCAATGGGTATTCCAGGGTGTTTTCTTGTACTTTTAAATTAGCAATTGTGCGGCAATTAATGGCTCTTAAATGAACAGCTTTCTATGTGTTTCCAGTGTGTCCTTGGGATTGATTTCTAGAAATAGATATTCCTAGATACTAACATTCTCCCCTGAACTGTGGACTGGTTTGCATTCATGCTAGTGATCTATGGAGGTTCATTTTCCTCACAGACATGCCAAGGCAAATTTAGGGTTCCCCATGGGCTAAGGGATTTACATGTCCCTGTGGCCTGCCCAAGCATTTCTCTTATTACTAGTAAGACTGAACATTTATTTACATGTGAAGGGGACATAAGGATATATTTTCAAACTCTGGTTTGGAGCCCAAGATGTAGATGAGAGAACCAGAGATCCATGCAGTGTAAAGAGATAGAATGCTCCACCCCCCAGGGTGCGGGACAGCTTGGCTAGTCCATCACTGCTGAGAGAGTTGCATTGCATTTTCCAGAATGATTCTACACTACATTACATGCCCCAGGGAAATGCAGAGGTGGCTTGGCAACCACTAGAAGCATAAGCTCAAGACAAAGGATTTCATCCCTAGTGCTTTTCTAGTATACACTCTTCGATTCAATATGAACATTCCGTCTTTCAGTGTTGGGTCAGATTTCAGGTCACCTTTACCCAAATGTGCGTGTTGCAAGGCACGGCATCCTTTGTTTCCTGGTCTCAACAGTGAGTTAACTGCTACAGCCTGAGTTTGCTGAATTCTGACTAACTGGGCTGTCTCCAAGCACACTTGAGTTGTGTTCAAGCTTTGTCCCTTCTGTTACTGTTGATATTCCCAAGGTTCTGTGTGAAGAACACAGAAAATGGACAGAAATGATGGGTGGGCAATCCCGCGTAGTAAATGATTACTTAGGTGCCTTTTGTCAACTAAGCAGAAGAGTCCTTTAAAATCTCACACTGGCTTGCAGCCAGTAGGAAAATGCAGAGAACCGAGTCCACCTCCTGTGTCTGGCGTGGGCCGGTTGTGCCACTTCGGGCGGCTGCTTCACTTCCTATGATTTCACAGATCCTTGCAGGCAGAAGATACGCAGTCTCCTGCCTTTTCACCTCTTGAGTTTTCAGATAACGACACTGCCTCTTCATCCGTAAACCACAAAGTACTGACCACAGCCCTCACAGCCTTCCAGCTCTAGTGGCCCGTGATTGTTTTTGTGAGATTTCTTTGAAAATGAACTCTAGTTTAAAGAAAATGTAAAATCAACCCAAAGCCAGTTTGGGGTTCTAACCCCACTCAGCAAATGTGGCCATGATTTCACCCAGCAGAAGCCTGCTTCATATAAGGAGGAGCCCTCACTTTCCCTCCTTTACTGAGAGCTAATTGTTATATTAAATGCATTGAACCCACTCTCTGCTAAATTGGTGTAATTTAAGATCTTCAATAACCTTAAAACACTTAATCTTACCCCACAATTATTCATTTATTGCCTAAATTCTCATGACTCACTAATTTATGAAAGAGAACCTGTACTCTCCAGGCCTGACGTTTCTTGGTCTTCTTTAAATGAGTCCTTTCCCAGCTAGCTGCATCTGAACCAGGGGTTACTACCTACTCATGTATCTATTAAATGAGCACACATTAAGACTCTAATTCTTCCTGCCTGTTTCAGACTCTCTCTAGCTAGGTTTGGTTTACTCTGACTAGTAAGTCTCCTAGTTTAGCTATGATGATTTGACCATAATTTGATTAGTTTTCTCTTACTGCTGCAATGGGTAATGACTGGGACAGTGAACAGATAACTTGGGACAGACTACTGTGTAGGCTAGGCAGGTTACAGGGGCATCCACGCAGTGTGTGAGGCAGCTTTTCTTCAGATACATTCAAAATAAGGAGATCAAAAAGATGGGG